CAGGATAATAAAGATATAAAAGCACCTAGCTGAAGTTAGGAGATTGGGGAATCCTACTGTGTTTCTAGGACCCCCTGCTGTGCAGCGAATAAAAGCCTCACTTATCCATTGGGCATAACATGTGTAAAGTAACATCTGTTTGAACTGTGGCTCTGGATTTTTTGGGAGATTTTTGCTATAGTTTCTTTAGGGTATATTCCCAGTAGTGGAATTGCTGGTAAAATGGTATTTCTATTTCCACCTTTTTGAGAAAGCACCAGAACACATAGTGGTTGTACCAGTTTACATTCCCACCAACAGTGAATAAGAGTTCCAGTCTCTCCACAACCTTGCCAACATTAGTTGTTTGCTGCCCTACTAAACCTTACTAACATTGCTAGGGTGAGATGATCTCTTATCATTGTTTTGGTTTACATCGCTCTGATAGCTAGGTATTTTGAACACTTTTCCATCTGTTTGTTTGTCATCTGAATATCTTCTTTGATGAAGTGCAAATGTGTTTTTTATAACATTTTATATTCAAATGCCTCCTTATTTTTTTAAATAGGTATCTTTGCCTATTTATCTTTACTACATTTATTCTTGGTTTCCTTTTCTTTGAAGCAAATATATCAAGTAACAGCTTGGGAGTTTTAGATACATTTAAATAATCCCTTCTAAATTAGAAGGAAATTCACATTATAAGATTTCATTGCTCCACAGAATTCATTTACAAAAAAATTTACCACAGACACCTGAAAAACTCTGCATGCTGGAAATATCTGAACTAATGTCTCTTTTCTCAGAAAGAACTTTTAAAGCCATATATTTGTCTTTGGAAACTACAATCTTCAGAAAGGAGTACTGGTGTCTTAGTCGTGACGAGTTGCACTGCTAATCCAAAGGCTTGCAGTTCAAATCCAGCAGTTGCTTCCTAGGAGAAAGATGGATAATCAATCTCCTACTATGCTATTTCTTGTCTCTGTAAACCTGCCGTTGTTGTTATGTGCCGTTAAGTCACTTGTGACTCATAGTGACCCTATGTACAACAGCCCTAAACCCTGCTCTGTCCTGTGCCAATCTCACTGTCTCCAAAACACCTGCCTACCCCCATTACCCTAGTCACTGAATCAATCCACCTCATAGAGGGTCTTCCCCTCCTGCGCTGTCCCTCCACCCTCCCAAGCATGATGTCCTTCTCCAAGGACTGGTCCCTCCATGCAACATGTCCAAAGTACGTCAGATGAAGCCTCAGAATCCTTGCCTAGAGGGTCATATATGGATTAGATCATACTCAGTGGTACTTAATAACAACAATATTCAGAAGTTGTTGTTGTTGTTGTTATGGGTCGTCTACATTTTGTAAAAAAACCCCTCAACAAAATGTTAATGTTGTGCTATCAAATTGCCTGTGATTCATAGTGACCTTATGCACAATAGTTCTGAACTCTCACATATCCTGAGCCATTCTCTCTGTCTCCAACACATCTACCCATATTACTCCAGTTAGTGTGTTAATCCATCTTATCTGGGATATTCCTCTCCTGTCACTCCACCCTTCCAAGAATGGTGTCTAATCTCTCCTGGCCACATGCCTAAAGTATGTGAGACAGAGTTTCAAAATCCTTGTCTCCAAGGAGCAACCTGGTTTCACTTTATCCTGGATAAACCTGTTTGTTTTCTTGGCTGTCCATTCAATACTCTTCTCCAGAATCACAATTCAAGGCCATCAATTCTTCTGTTATCTCTAGTCATTGTCCAGTTCTCTGATGTATAGCAAGTAACTGAAGACCATGGCCTGAGTCAGACATACCTTAATCTCAAGACTGATATCGTTGTTCTTCAGCACTTTGGAGTGGTCTCTGATATTAGATTTCCCCAGTGCAATTGGTCTTTTGATTTCTTGACTGCTGATGGCAAGGGTATTGATTGTGGACTTGAGTAAATTAGAATTGTTAACAACCTCAATCTCTTCTCCGTCTATCACCGTGCTGCCAATTGGCCCAGTGCTAAAAATCTTTGTCTTCTGAACTTCAAGTCTGCCTCAGTTTCAGCAAACAAGGTTGTGTTATCTGCATAACGTAGTCTTCCTCCAAGCCTGGTGCCACATTTCTCTTATAAAGTTCAGCCTCCTGAATAATCTTCCCAGTTTCTAGATTGAAAAGATAGGGAGACAGGATATATCTCTGACTCAATCCTTTCTTGATTTTGAACCATATAGTGTTTCCTTGCTCTGTTCTGTGGACCAAGAAATCTGGAGGACAACTACTAGGCCCACTGACTGGAAGAGATCCATATTTGTTCCCATTCCAAAAAAGGTTGACCCAACAGAGGGTGGGTCAAACAACATCTCTGTTATCATACACAAGCAAAATCTTGCTAAAGATTTTTTTTAAAATGACTAGAACACTGCATCAACAGAGAATATAAGCTGGGTTTAAAAGGGACTGTGGCACTGGAGACATTATCACCAATGTCAAATGGATCTTGGCTGAAAGCAAAGAGTATCAGAGGAATGTCTAGCTGTGTTGCATTGACTGTGCAAACCATAATATACAACCTCTTTATTCTTTTGAATTCATATTATAAAAATAATAACTCATTCCAAAACATTTAAAAATATATAGAAGTAAACAATTAAAATTTTTCTTTTAAACTTAGATTACTTGCAGTACATAACAAAATAATATATGTGAATAGCATATATTTGCTCTTAACCTTTGGAGTTGCTTTCACCATCATCCCAATACCCATGCCCACCCCTAATCCTCATACCTCACTCCCACCACCCATCCCCACTGTACTATTTTCCATCCACGGATGGTTGGGACTGGGAAAGCAGATCCTTAGGAAACGGAGTGCAGAATGTACCACCCCACCAGCCAGAATAACTCCAAACAAGAGTTTTGTGTCTTCCAAGTTTCTAGAGCAGTTTATGGTGCTTAATTAGAATGGCTCTGAATTTGTCCAGTTTATTTATGTGTGTTATACTAATCTGGTACTCCAAAGGAAAGCAGGAATTTTGGGGTTATTTTAGTAATGCTGGAATTACTACAGTAGCTTTTATTGTTAAGCGAGAGAATGGATAGCTGGTCACTCCCTCTTTCTCTCTCTCCCATTCCCATAGGACAGGACTAAATCAAGGTTTCCCATAAGAAACAGAAGTCAAGGACAGAAGCATAACAGTGAAGAAGCCTCCTGTTTAGGAATGCAGGGGATCCTTTCCTTTCAAAACCCAATCAATTCCTCAGGTCTCTAGGCGGGTCTGGCTATGACCAGACTCAGGGGTGAGACTGGCAGTGCTCACCTGAGGCTCATTGTCTGCCAAAAGGTTTGGGTCCAAGCCTGAATTTCCAGGGGTGTTTCCCCATCTCGTTTTCATTCTTCCCTTTTCAACTTCTTCTCACACCATCATGCTCATCCTTTGTATTACCTTAATAAAACTTTTTCATTTATTTTGCTAAATTACTTCTGTGTCTGTTCACTTATTTACAGTCACTTCAAATCACCCCTTGCCGGAAACATTAGTGAGTAGTGAAAAAAGAAAAAGAACTCTCATTTTAGGACATTTCTTTTTCTTTTAAAAAAAATGTTCTTCATTTTAGTGAGCATTTTACAGAGATTTTGGATTTCTATTCATTCATTAACAATCTGTGTTATGCAGATGTCACAACCCTGCTTGCTGAAAATGAAGAAGACCTGAAGCGCCTGCTGCAGAGTGTCAAGGACTGCAGCCTACAATATGGATTGAGGCTCAATGTCAAGAAGACAAAGATTCTCACCACTGGACCAATTGGCAGCATCAGGATGGATGGTGAAGAGATTGAGATTGTACACAGCTTTAGTTTGCTTGGCTCCACAGTCAACAGTCTTGGCACCAGCAGCCAGGAAATTAAAAGTCGCATTGCCATGGGAAAGTCTGCTGTTAGGGACCTCTCTGAAGAGCAATGGTGTCTCTCTGGAGACTAAGGTGCGTCTGATACAGGCCATGGTCTTCGCAATCACTTGTTATGCATCAGAGAGTTGGACAATGACCAAGGAGGATAGAAGGAGAATTGATGCCTTTGAGCTGTGGTGCTGGAGAAGAGTATTGAGAATACCATAGACTGCTAGGAAAACAAACAGATTTGTCCTGGAAAGGGTTAAACTGGGTGGCTCCTTGGAGGCAAGGATTCTGAGGCTCCATCTAACATACTTTGGACCTGTTGTGACGAGAGAGACCGGTCCTTGGAGAGGGACATCATGCTTGGGAGGGTGGAGGGACAGCGCAGGAGAGGAAGGCCCTCTATGAGGTGGATTGATTCAGTGACTGGGATTATTGGGATGGGAGTGTCAGAGGCAGTGCGATTGGCACAGGACAGAGTTTAGGGCTGTTGTACATAGGGTCGCTATGAATCGCAAGCGACTCGACGGCACATAACAACAACATTGTCACAATGCTTCTCAAAACCAGTTCTGAATAATCTCCTTTGTCATTGTGTCCTTTGCCATTCCCTATCACTCCTCCCTGAGATTTCACCCTGATTCATAAGGGACGCTGTAGGTTTCAGGGTGAAGATCTTCTCTCACTACTCTAAAGGGCCCATTTGGCGATAGGAAACACGTAGACTATTGTGGAGACTGATTTTGGAATTTAGATGCACTGATTTAATTTCTATTTCTAACGACCATAAACCTCTTAAAAATCTCGGAACCAACTGAAAGTTGACCCTCCAGTGGGCTTTCAGAGGTTCCAGATCGGAGGGAGGAAAGTGCTCATCTTTCTCCGCAGAGCTGCTGGAGTATTATTCCCGAGCTCTTTGCCCGAGACCCAACTTCCAAGCCAGGAACGCCCTCCGGGAACTTCCTCTCCCAAAGTAGACGTTACCGCCCGCCTTAAAAATGGCGCGGAGCCTGCGCGGTGTGATGACGCACTGTGACGCCATCTCAACGCGCCGCGAGCGCGGAGGGAGTAACCTGGTTTTCACGTGGCGTGGGCGCCAGGCATCTCTAGACGATCTCCGTAGGACCGGGGCGGCGGCATGGTAGAAGCCGTGGCTGCAGTGAGCCGCTTCAAGGCCAAGTGAGTCAGGGTCCTGGGGCTGCGGGGCCGCCGGAGTCGGGATGTGGGGGAGCGGGCTCCCAGCAGGGACGGGCTCTCGGGTACCTGGAGCGGCGCTGCACGCTGCACGCTGCACGCTGCACGCTGCACGCTGCACGCTGCACGCTGCACGCTGGGCGCCAGCTCGGTTCTGGACCTGGTGATGCTGTGTACGCCTGCATCCGGGGATTCGCGGGAGGAGTCTCCGACTGACCCCCGGAAGGACGGAGACTGAAGTCAAGGCGGAGCAACAGGCACCGGCAAAGTTAGGATCCTGTTAGGGGGCGTGGGACAGGCATGACAGAAGAGGGGAAGAGATCGCCAGGACCCAGATCTGGGCTGATCCTGTTCTTGAGGCAGTCCAGGGAGCTTTCACGAGCCACCTCTCTTCTCCGGGGGGGGGGGGGGTAGAAAAAGGGAGGTAAGTGGGCGAGGGTCCTGTAAAGTGCTTAGTGCTAGAGGGCCAGACCCAGTGTCTATTTTAAGAAACAGTCCGATGGGGGAAAACCCAGAGCCATTGACAATGAGTTAATTCCGATTCAGAGCCACCCAGTAGAACAGAGTGTACCTGCACTGTAGGGTTTCCAAGGCTGTAAATCTTCAGGGGCGCAGATTGCTTTATCTGGTGGAACTGAAAGTGGATTCAAACCACCAACCTTCTAGCTAGCAGCCTATCACTTAGCCACTTTGTCCCCAGGGCTCCTGGTAGGTTTTCAGATAACTTTCATAACCAGTATTAGGTTGTAAAGAGAATGTCAGGTGCTAAAAGCACATCTACTGGGTGCAAGTGATGGGAGTTTGGTATTCTCTTGAGACTGAGGCTCTGCTGTGTCTGATTAACCGGGCATTGAAACTGAGGGAGGAGCCCCTGGCCTTATGAAGGCCTGTTCTGGATGACAAGCAGAAAGAGGCTGGCAGCAGGGTGCTTTTGAGAGGGAAGGGCTGAGCAGACAAGGTTGGTGGAGACTTGAGAACTTGTGAAGAGAGGGGAGGTTGTCGGCAGGGTAGGGATAAAGCTACAGTGGAGGAAGCAGAGGGGCACTACTGGAGCCACTATCCAGAGGTGATCCTATGGTGGCAGAGGAGACCGGCCAGCAGAAGTGAGGTCTAGGCCTGGCTGAGGAGTAAGGTGGTAGGTCACTTGGTCTCAGGAATTAAGTGAAGATGATGCTATCTGTCCTGACTCCCCGTGGCATGCAGATGGCACCCAAGGCCCACCAAGCTCTGCATTGGAGCCTGGGCCTCTAGAGGCTCTATCTCACTACTCTGGATCTCCCTTCTCCGTAAGCTGGAGGCAGCTGCAGGGACAGTTTAAGACGGTGATAATGTGCAGAGCTCAGTCTAGCAGCCACCTCATGATATCCCACAGATTCTGTCCTTGCCCTCGGCTTGTCATTCTCTCCGTAGGCCCTCACCGCTTCAAAGAGATAGTTTTAGTGCACAGCACCTCAAGCAGAGCCTCACTGGGTCACCTCCAAAGTGTCCCTGAGTGTAGGCATTGGGGGAAGGGGAAGGGTGCCTCTCACTTGCTTCCTTGTCCTCTCTCCAGCTATGCTGTGAAGCGCAAGATTGAGCCTTTCTACAAAGGCGGGAAAGTTCAGGTACCTCCCTGGGTCAGGTGGAGGTAGGGAGGCAGGGTAGGGTGGGGGTGAGGAGGAGGGCTGTCCAGCTGAAACCCATCTGTCTGCAGCTAGACCAGATGGGGCAGCACCTCTTTTGCATCTGTGGCACCAGAGTCAATGTCCTGGAAGTGGCCTCGGGGGCCGTGCTGCGAAGCCTGGAGCAGGTGAGAGTTCTGCCAAGAAGGAGTGAGGAGATGAGCTGGGGAAGGTACTCATCCTCACTCACTGTGTGTCCCCTCTTGTCTCCAGGAAGACCAAGAAGACATCACTGCTTTCGATCTCAGTCCTGATGACCAGGTGTGTGGAAAGGACTGACTGGTCCACAAGGTGGGGCGGCCATGTCCTTCCCCCACTGAACTTCCCCTCCCCCAGGTACTGGTGACTGCCAGCAGAGCCATGTTACTGGCACAGTGGGCGTGGCGAGAAGGCAGTGTCACACGCCTGTGGAAGGCGGTACACACAGCTCCTGTAGCCGCCATGGCCTTCGACTCCACCTCCACACTGCTAGCAACAGGTAGGGCTTCTGACCAGGTGAGCAGGGCAGGGGCATTGCGGACACCTGCCCCCATGCCTCATGCACCCCTCCTGCAGGCGGCTGTGACGGGGCCGTGCGTGTGTGGGATGTTGTGCAGCACTACGGGACACACCACCTGCGGGGCTCACCTGGCGTCGTGCAGTAAGTGGAGCAGCCCGGTTATGGTGGCAAGGGCTGGACCCACAGCCTGCAGTGGTACAGCATACACTCACACGCCCACCTCTGTCACAGTCTGGTGGCCTTCCACCCGGACCCCACGCGCCTGCTGCTCTTCTCCTCATCGGTGGACACTGCCATCCGAGTGTGGTCCCTGCAGGACAAGCTGTGCCTGGCTGTGCTGACTGCACACTATAGTGCTGTCACCTCGCTGGTCTTCAGCACCGATGGTAACACCATGCTCAGGTCAGTGAGCAGTTACTGGGTGGGTGGGGGAAGTGCAGTAGGGACCTCTAAACCAAATGACCATCTCCACAGCTCTGGCCGAGACAAGATCTGCACAGTCTGGGACCTGCGGAGCCACCAGTCTACAAGGACAGTCCCAGTGTTTGAGGTGAGGCTCTGGGAGCTCTTGGGTGGAAGGGCTGATGGAGAGGAACTGGGGGCACCCTGTAATGCCCTTTGCTCCCCCAGAGTGTGGAGGCCGCAGTACTGCTGCCAGAGGAGTCCATGCCTGAACTGGGCGTGAAGTTCCCCGGCCTGCACTTCCTGACTGCCGGTGACCAAGGTGGGTGGGACCAGGCCTCCAGGCTCTTGATGGGAGGGAGTGTTGGGGGTGGGCACCTAGACCTGCTGGTTCCAGCCTCTCATGCTCTACACAGGTTCACTGCGTGTGTGGGAGGCCGCATCTGGGCAGTGTGTATACACGCAGCCCCAGCCACCAGGCCCTAGCCAGCAGCTGACCCACTGCACCCTGTCCCATGCCACCGGGCTGCTCCTCACTGCCACTGCTGACCACAACCTGCTGCTCTATGAAGCACGCTCCCTGCAGCTGCGCAAACAGGTCAGCAGGTGACCAGCGTGGCTCAGAGCCTGTGCAGTCACTCCCCCAGGTGGGCCCAGTGCCTGTCCACCCACTGCCCCATGCAACCTGTGTGACTGTCCCACTGCCATGTGGCTCCAGCTTATGTCCCCACTGTTCCCCCATAGCTCAGGTTTTGAAAAGGCCCCCAGTGTGCCCTCAGGTCCTATTCTTACATACCCAGGGCCTGTGAAGCCCAAATAGCCCACCCTCTGCCCCCACCTCTACAGTTTGCTGGCTACAGTGAGGAGGTGCTGGACGTGCGGTTCCTGGGTCCTGAGGACTCCCACATTGTGGTGGCCTCCAACAGTCCCTGCCTGAAGGTGTTTGAACTACAGACCTCAGCCTGCCAGATCCTCCATGGCCATACAGGTGCACCTTCTCCCCTCCCACATGGATGCTCAGCCCCCACCTGTCAGTGTTAGACCTGACCCCACACAGGTGTCAGTCATAGCAAGGTGCACAACCCCCCTGACCACCTAGTCTCACCCTGCCCTCAACCAGCTGGCCCTTTCTAACTATCCTACCCTTCCTTCCAGATATTGTCCTGGCCCTGGATGTGTTCCGGAAGGGGCAGCTCTTTGCTAGCTGTGCCAAGGTGAAGCACCCTAACAGGTGTGGAGGTCCAGGTGGGAAGCCAAGCCTCTGGCACATACCTGACCTGCCTCCTCACCTTGTTCTGTCCCTAGGACCAGAGTATTCGTGTCTGGAGGATAAACAAGACAGGCGAGGTGATCTGTGTGGCTCAGGGCTCTGGTCACACACATAGTGTGGGCACCATCTGCTGCTCGAGGTAGCGAAGCCTGGGTTGGAACTGGGGATGCTGAGAGGCCCAGGCCTCTGAGGAGAGAGAAAGCAGAGGCGAGGCAGGACCCCCTGTGTGTGTAGGGCTGGGAACCCACTGTTAGGCCATTCATTGGGTACTGCGGTCCCAGAGTGGGCTTGGGTTTGGGCACAGAGCTATGGCTTTGGTCTTAAAGCATCTGGGAGTGATATATAGTTCCTGTCCCAACCACAGGCTAAAAGAGTCCTTCCTAGTGACTGGCAGCCAGGACTGCACGGTGAAGGTATGGCCACTTCCCGAAACCCTGCTATCCAAGAGCATGGTCCCTATCAAGAATCCCGTCCTCCTGCAGGCCAAGACCACACAGCGCTGCCATGAGAAGGTGACTGACACAGCCAGAGGGGTCACAGTGGGCTCTGCCGGGCTGAGGTATAATTCAGTCATCCTCTTCCAACCCTAGGACATCAACAGTGTGGCCATTGCCCCCAATGATAGGCTGCTGGCCACTGGCTCCCAGGACCGCACAGCCAAGCTCTGGGCCCTGCCGAAGTGCCAGCTGTTAGGTGTCTTCTCTGGCCACCGGCGTGGTCTCTGGTGTGTTCAGTTCTCACCCCTGGACCAGGTGCTGGCCACGGCCTCAGCTGACGGCAGCATCAAGCTGTGGGCTCTGCAGGACTTCAGCTGCCTCAAGGTGAGATGTCCCTGCCTTGGGACCCCTCAGCCCCTCCTAACATCACCTCACCTGCCTCTCCCCATCTTACAGACCTTTGAGGGACACGATGCTTCTGTGCTGAAGGTGGCCTTCGTGAGCCGGGGCACTCAACTACTGTCTAGGTCAGTCTGGGACTGGACAATGGGGTCGGCTAGGCCAGACTGGGCACTGAGCCCCCACCCCTTGACCCTCTCCCTCCTTCAGTGGTTCTGACGGACTCCTGAAACTCTGGACCATTAAGAACAACGAATGCGTGAGGACACTGGATGCCCATGAGGACAAGGTGTGGGGGCTACACTGCAGCCGACTAGATGACCACGCCGTCACAGGCAGCAGCGACTCCTGTGTCATCCTCTGGAAGGTGTGGGGACTGACTGGCTTGGTTGGAGCAGAGAACAGACACTGGAGAGGCCAGGGGATTGGGTGGGCAGGATACAGACACTGGGGAGGCCAGGAGGACAGTGTGTGTGGGGCAGGGTATAGACACTGAGGGAGACCAGGGGGACTGGCATGGGGGCAGACACAGAGGAGGGAGGCCAGGGGCACTGTGTGGATTATAGGAGGACATGGAGGGGAGGCTAGTCTGACTCCAATGTGGCTCCAGGATGTAACGGAGGAGGAACAGGTGGAGGAGCAGGCCAGGCGGGAGGAGCAGGTGATCAAGTAAGTGTCAGCATCCTACACCTTCCCCCCTCAGCACCCTCCTGTTTACCCAGTACCCACGGCAGCACTCAGGTCCACCCTGCCTTCCCCCCTCAGCCCTATCCCCTCAAGCATCTCTATGGCTGGCCTTTCCGTGGGTCACCGTCACCGTCACCCTTTCCCCTGGGAAGAGGAGATCCTGTCATACTTTGCTCTAAGGTGCTGGGAAGTAGACTCAACAGGGACACTCTGGCCCTGCTCAGTGGCCCCCCCCACTGTCCCCAAGGACCCCTTCTCTTCCATCTTCCTCCCCCATAGGCAGCAGGAACTGGACAACCTGCTTCATGAGCGGCGGTACCTGCAGGCACTGGGCTTGGCCATCTCCCTGGACCGTCCCCATACCGTGCTGACCGTCATCCAGGGTCAGTGTCACATAGGAACGGGAAAGGCTTCAGGTCCAGCCTGCCCAGAAACAGGCCATGTACCAAGCCGCTTCCGTGAGGATGGGGGGATGGGCAGGCAAGTAAGGTACAGGGGGAGGGGAGGGATGTCTCAGTCCAGCGCACCTGTGTCTCCTTCACAGCCATCCGCAGGGACCCTGAGGCCTGCAATAAGCTGGAAGCCACAGTTCTCCGATTGAGGCGAGACCAGAAAGGTGAGTTAGTGTGCTGGGGCAGGGGCCAGCCAACCTCGTGATTGGGGCTGACCTTTCCTGTCGCCCACAGAGGCCCTGCTGCGTTTCTGTGTCACCTGGAACACCAACTCCAGGCACTGCCACGAGGCGCAGGCTGTCCTGGGTGTGCTTCTGCAACACGAGACCCCGGAGGAACTACTGGCCTACGAGGGCATACAGGCCGCACTGGAAGCCCTTCTGCCCTACACAGGTGTGGGACGGGAGGGGTGTAAGGGGTGGGGCCCGGCTGGGGGGCACAGCACTGGGCCTTTGACCTGCTTACCCCTCTGTCCTCTCCAGAACGACACTTCCAGAGGCTCAGCCGGACACTACAGGCGGCCACCTTCTTGGACTTCTTGTGGCACAACATGAAGCTGTCCCCACTCCCTGCAGCCCCCCCGGCCCTCTGAGAATAAAGAGTTCTTTTCTATCCTGCCTCAGTCTTTCTGGGCAGCAGGCTTACCTCAGGGCCAAGGCTATAAGGTTATCACCAGCCAGGGTCCCCATCATTTCTCACCGTCCTGCCCTGGCCTTTCAATGAACAACCAAAATCTGCTGTGGTTGTCTGCTCAGGGCTGCCCCATAGAAGGCTGTAAATCTTAGAGATGCAGATAACCACATGTTCCTTCCACAGAGAGGCTGGTGGCTCTAACTGCTGACCAGTTAGCAGTTCAATCCCCAACCCACTACACCACCAGAGTACCTAGCCCAGCACGACTATGTGGACCTGACCCAACAACCCTACAGAACTGAGTGAAACTACTGAAGAGGGTTTTCATGGGAGCAGAGTGTCCTGTCCTTCTCCACCAGCCTTCCTTTCACCGACACTAAACCAAGCTGCTGCCCCCTGCTCGTGCCTTTCAGTATTCTTGTAAATCTTTAAGGAAGAACATTGCCTTTTCTCCTTCAGAGCACTTGGTGGGTTCTAACCATCCACCTTGTAATAGCAGACAGACGGGAAATGTGCTGTACCATCAGAGCTGCACACCTTCAGAACTTTTTTTTTAAGCTTATAGCACGCAGTATTCCCAGTAGGTCTCCCCATCGGAGTTCTAACCCAGGCCCAACCCTGTTTAGCTTCCGAGATCGGCGCATTCAGGCAGGGTGGTATGGTCGTGGACCCTTCAGAACATTATTCACAGCTAGCTTGAAGGGAAGTTATGTCATCTGGCTCCTCCCCTAGTCCCAATAAATATAGCCAATCAGTAAATCCCTGGGGTCCCATCTCTGGTTGTTTCTCAGGAAAGTTAGGAGACTTCCTCTAAGCTAGGCAGATCTACCCCAGGCACCCCCAGTTACACAGTTCAGGACCTTTCCCAGCAGATGTAAGCCCCCCTTCTCCCTGCCTCCAACAAAGGTACAGCATCTGCTCTCCTTCCCTGGTTCCAGCAGTGGCGTGGTCCAGCATCCTGCTCCAGTTCAAGATGGCACGGTGGGCACGGGTGGGAGAGTGACCAGAGGGAGCTCTGGGCACAGGAGCACTCCCAGCCTGTCAGGCTGCAGCAGCACAGCAGGCAAAAGGCCAACCCGGCCGCTGTACCTGAGGGAGGGGTGGGCGTGATTCCAGCTCAGCCCCTTCCAGGTGGACCCAGTCAGTGCACCCACGAGCCTGCTCAAATGCACCCACGAACCTGCATAACCACCAGCCGCAATCCGATCCCTCCAGCACACACACTTGCGCCCCCGCGGGCACAGACAGTTCATCTGAGACACGTGGCTCATAGGCACGGGAAGCATAGAACAGTAGCCCTGGGAATGCAGGTGATCAGAAGGGGGCAGTCACCACTCTGGCCCTCTCCCTGCTGTAGGAAATTACAAACTCCAGAGGCTCTCTTGCAGATCCCTGTGGATCCCAGGGATTACTCAGGAATCACCTGGATGAACACTAGCAAATCCCTGAAACCAGCCTAACACCTCATCCATGTGTCAATCCCCCAGCATCCTCCCCTGATTTATGTGTCTCTGCACCAGTAGTGCTGGGATGCATACCGCTGGTCCCCAGAGGCAGGTCCCCTTCCTGCCATGGGCCTGGGGCCACCTCTTCCAGGTAGGGCGCAGGAAACCAGGCTGTCTGCTTGACTTCGTTCTCCACCAGCCACCAGCCTGGGGAAGAGGTGGTGAGATTCAGGTCTCGAGGTCCCCAGGGCAGAGGCAAGCTTAAGGTTCCTGTGACCTCACCTGAGGGGTGCCTCAGCAGGACGTCCAAGGCCTCTTGGGCACACACGCGAAAGGGTCGGCCTCGTGTGTCCTGGGTGCAGTAGGGCTGCAGACAGCGCAGGTTCTGCGCCTCCAGCCGTCGGATGTCAGGGCTACTCGCAGGGGCAGGCAGTGGCTCCTCAGGGACGGATAGAGTCACCAGGCTGCAGCAGGTGACGAGTGGGAGTGGTAAGTCCACCTCTCACAAGTCCACCCAACCTCTTCTTACCTGGCCACCCTGTGTGTCCCATTCTCTAAAGAGTTCGGGTGGGTCAGGCACCTGCCAGGTGGCAGCCCAGGTTTCAGGTCCAGGGCTTGAGGCGTGAAGAAGTGGGTGACCACCGGGTTCCGGGATATGGGCTCGCTCACAGTCAACAGCATCTTGGCGTAGGCCTCCAGGCGCCTCAGATGCGCCAGGCCACGGTGCGTCTGTCCCACACGGGCCCACAACCGCAAATCTGCGAGCACACAACAGAATTGGACCTTGGAACCCCACCCGGATGCCCCCTCCCCCGTTCTGGCTCCGCAGGCTGACCAGGAAGGGGGGGAAGAACGCGATCATATCTGTTCAGCAGGCCTGCCTCCAGTGGGAACGTCTTTTCCAGAGTTTTCTGCAGGGAGAAACCAGAGATGTGTCTCAAAATGCTACTCTCCTAAGGTAGATCTATGACCCAGGTCTTAAAACTCGAGGTGCATCCAAAGGCTGGGGTCCCATGCTGTAGGCCATTCTCAGACCCCCATCACACCCTAGGGCCACTCACATGGAGCCTTCTGAAATCCTCATGGTTCCTGTGCACGAAAATGTTGCCGCCATCCGACCAGCGCACAGAGAAAATGAATGTCTGTGAGAGGAAAAATTGGGGGGGGGGGGTCCTTACATGATGGAGTCTAAGGATTGCAGTCTCCCCTCTAGGGCACCTAGCCAGTACCTGGAGCCTGCCAGTCTGCAGCAGGGCCACTGCGCACACCGACACGGGGTGCTGGGGGCCTGTGGTAGATTGTGGGCTTCTCACTCCTTCCTGCTCTCGAGGGCCTTCCAAGTACCCACAATATTGTTTGGCGTTCTCCAAGGAGGGCCCAAGCTGGTCATCTGATTCACCCCCTGCAGAACCAGTACTCTGAAGGCTCATCATTGTCCCCTAATCTGATCTGCAAATCTGGGTGCCCGGCGCCAAGAGGAACTAAGTCTTCCAAGTGGAAGAGTGGGCTGTGCTGGGACTGACCACCTGCAACTGCCTGCCCAACCTGGCAGTGGGAGGAGGGATAGGAAGAGGGAAGCGCTGTGAACCAATCAAAGGTCCGATCTCTGCCCACTGCAGAAGGTGGAGGTTCACCTTGGGAATGTCTCCACTCCCACCTTGAAAACTACTAATACCCAGCCCTTCAGTCCCTCTGACCCACCTAATGAAAGGGCTTCAAAGTCCTTTCTTTGTCTCTTCTGTCCATAGGGCACTAGTCTTTTTTTTAAATACTTCTTACCTCCAGGGTTTTTAAAAAATTATTATTATTAATTTTAATGAAAGTTTACATAGACTATTGTCTTTTAATGTTTTTATTGGGTTTGTGTGTGTGTGTGTGTACCATCAAATCAGATCTGACTGGTACAGGGGGAGATTACCCCCCTTCTCCAGCAGAGCATCTGGTGGATTCAAACCTCATACCTCTGGGATTGCAGTGCAGCTTCTTGCCACTAGGCCACCGGAGTTTGCCGAAAGTTTACAGACTTTGAATTTCCATTCATTCATTGTTGCACTTTTCTCCCTGACCACCCCTTGCCCCCAAGTTCGCTCTTCTCTTTGAAAACTAAAAGAAAAATTCTTTCATTGTTATACAGTCCCTCTCCCCAAGTTCACTCCACTGCGCAGTCTTTGTTTTGGACTCCTGTCATGACAATAATACTTAATCATATATCCCTTTTAAACAGTTCTCTCCCTCATCTGTTTCAATGCAGTATACATAACTTATCTTTCTCCAGTTACCCCCAACACCTGTATCAGTCCCATTTGACAACATAGTAGCATTATTCAGTGTTTGTCCTTTTGTGACTGAGATATTTCACTCAGCATCAATGTCCTCCAGGATCACCCATTTTGTATATTTCATGAACTCTTTGTTTTTCAAAGCACTGTAGTATTCCATTGTGTGAATATACCACAGCTTCTCTATCCATTCGTTTCTTGATGGGCACTTCTTTCCAACTCTTTGCTATTGCAAACAAAGCCGCAATAAACATGGGTGTGCATATATCTGCTTGGATAGCAGTTATAGTTTTCTTGGGGTATATTCCCAGTAGTGGAATTGCTGGGTCAAATGGTATTTCTATTTGCAACTTTTTGAGAAATCACTATACTGCCTTCCACTGTGGTCGCACCATTTTACACTCCCACCAACAGTGAATTAGGGTTCCAGTTTCTCCACAATCTCGCCAACATCTGTTGTTTGCTGTTCTGTTAAGTTTCGCTATTCTTACTGGGCTGAGTTGTTTAGACTCTTTTTTTTAAAGTTATTTTAGTAAAAGTTGTTTCCTCCAGGGAAAGATTTTAATAATATCCGTAAATCCACTTAGATGAAGGTGATTTTGACTCAAGACCTTCCCATAGGGTTTCTGAGGCCAGAAATCTGAACGGGAGAATGTGACCTATTTTCCTGTAGAGTGGCTGGTGGGTTTGAACTGCTGCCCTTTCAGTTAGTAGCTCACATACACCACTAGAGCCATATTGTTGTTATGTGTCATCTAGTCACCTACAACTCATTGTGACCCTGTTCTATCCTGTGCCAATCTTGTCTCTGATACACCTAACTCCATTACCCCAGTCACTGAATCAACCCATCTCATCAAGGGTCTTCCTCTCCTGTGCTGCCCCTCTGTCCTCCCAAGCATGACATTCCTCTCCAAGGACTGTTCCCTCTTTGCAACATGACCAAAGTATGTCAGACGAAGCTTCAGAATCCTTGCCTCCAAGTAGTTGCCTGGCTTCACCCTCTCCAGGATGAACTTGCTTGTTCTCCTAGCATTCCATGGTATATTCAATACTCTTCCCCAGCACCTCAGCTCAAAGACATCAATTCTCCTTCTATTATCCCTAGTCATTATTTAACGTTCCGACGCATAGCAAGTAATTGCAAAGACCATGGCCTGTATCAAGCACACCTTAGTCTCCGACTGGAGAGGTCTCCAACAGCCAACTTTCCCAGTGCAATTTGTCTTTTAATTTCCTGGCTGTTGGTACCAAAAGAATTGAATGTAGAGCCAAGCAAACAGAAGCTGTCAACCAGAGCCTTGGAGGAGGAAATTAGTGTTAAATGGTTGATTAATACAAGCTTTTCTGGCTATGTTTACATGAAGGTATGGGCCCCCATAGCCTCACCCCAAGTTCACCATTGGGAGAATTGGGGCAGAAGGGAGAGGTGTCAGGAAGACTTGTCACCATTTACAACAGAAAACTCACCCTTTTAGGACAAAAAGGACTACTCTTCAGATAGGTAGGGAGGCCATGGAAGTCCTGGGAGGAAGTGTACCTGGGTGCCCTGTTATATGAGAGGTGCTCGATTTTGTAGGGGAGACTTTTGGAGCCCCATCTGATTCCTGGAAGAACACAGACATTAAGCCTAGCACTGGGGTTCCAGCTCTATCAGACTTCCCCAGATTCTTCAGGGAAGGGTCCCTGAAGAGGATCTCTGGGCATCCCACAGGAACTTGCCTTGGCCTCCTATCAAAAGGCCTTTGTGTACATGTGTATGTCTGGCTAGAGACCCCCTCTGAGGCCCCAGCATCTCCTCTGGTCTCCTCCCAGATAATGAATACCTATTGACAGGTCTGAATCAAAGCTTGCTTTCAGCTGGGCAGCCACCCTCCACTCCAGTCTTAGGGGGCTGTAAGCTTATCCTTGGGCTTGAAAGCCTGAGGGGGATGAATCACCTCTCTCTGCTCCTAATGTTCGGCCCTGAAGTTCAATGCCACTTATCGGGAACCAACAGATAATAGAAGAAAGCAAGCTGGCAGGAAGACACATGGGCCCTAAGGCTGGAAAAGAGGCTGGCCTAAAACGTTGCTGCTAGATCAAATGACAGTTCTTGTTGACTTCATCTCATCCTGGGTCTTCCTTTCCTGCACTGTCCATCAACCCTTCTAAGCATGATGTCCATCTCCAAGGATTAATCTCTCCTGGCCTTGTGCCCAAAGTATGTGAGACAGAGCTTCAAAATTCTAGCCTCCAAGGACAAACTTGCTTTCACCTTCTCCAAGACAGACCTATTTGTTTTTCTTGTCAGTCCATGGTATGTTCAAGACTCTTCTCCAGCACTACAACTCAAAGGCACTGATTCTTCTTCTATCATCCTTAGACATTGTCTAGCTATGTGATGCACGGCAAGTCATTGTGAAGACCATAGCCTAGATCAGGTGTCCCTTAGTCTCCAGACTGACATCATTGCTCTTCAGCACTCCGGAAAAGGCCCTGACAGCAGGCTATCCCAGAAAGGAAGACCCTTAACCAGATGGATTAACACAATGACTGCAGCAATGGGCTCAAGTATGTCAGAGATGATGCGGATGGCACAAGGTTCAGATGTATTAATTTGTTAAAGTCATAGGGTCATTACGGCACCTAACAGGTTTTCTGCAGCGCAGCTGTAAATCGTGTGTGCGCGCGCTAGTATACAAAGCACTAGTATACAAAGAAGTTGTAAATATTTATGGAATCAAGATTGCCACATCTTTCTAGGAGCAGCTGGTGGGTTAAAACTATTGTGCTTTCTTTAGCAACTAAGTATGACAAGGAATTCTATTGGCTCTTCCTAAATCTATTCAGCGCCTTACCACTGTCCTGAGAAAAAAATTCCCACCTTCCAGAGAGGCCAAAGGCTTGAGTAAGAGGTCTTGCCCACCCTAGACTTCCCTTCCTGTCACTGTCACCAGTATCTCAATACCTCAGAGGACCCCCACAATAGCTTCTGACACGCCTCCAGGCAACAAGCCCCAAGGATGGTATGTATAGGAATCAGATCGATTACATCTGTGGAAAAAACCACTGGAGAAGCTCAATATCAGCTGTGAAAACTAGGTCAGGAGCTGACTGTGGAACAGACCACCAACTTCTCATATGCAAGTTCAAGCTGAAACTGAGGAAAATTAAACCGAATCCACAGAAGCCAAAATATGACTTTAATTTCATCCCACGTGAATTTCAGAATCATCTCAGGAACAGGTTTGAGGCCTTGAACACTAATGAGCGAAGACCAGATGAGTTGTGGGAGGATGTTAAATGTATCATCTA